GATCTTTACCCAGAGCATCTATGTAGAACAACATGCTTACAGCAAAGCCCCTCAATAAATACTTGACTTTTCTGAGTTTTCATGACAGAAGCAACCTGTCGGCAGTGTGGCTGTGGTGTGGCCACATCCAAATCAGATTGGAATACTAGGGTAGGGTAAATTCAATGACGATGTGCTGTAATGACCCTGGACTTTTTTGCGCTCTTTAGAACAGATATCACATGAGCAGTGTTCAACTGTTAATTTTGCTCATCATTTACGCAGAGGCATAACTGGTTTGGCGACTCAGGCTTCAAATCAAATTCTTTGGGTGACAATTCTCCAATTAATTTGGGTTTACAAAAACACTTCAAACTCTCCAAGGAATCAGATTTTTTCAGTGTTTTCAGTTTTTGTTTTTGTTTTTTCATACATAAATGAACATAGCCATAGCATATTATGTATAGCTTCAGTTTTGTCCTGGCGTTTTTGTGGGTCTTTTACATCTTGAAGCTCCAGCGTTTCGGAGAATCCACTTGAAACCTTAGGACCTGGCCATAGCCCATGCCACATCCTCAAAGAATAGGGCTTTCAATAGGGGACATGATTATAACTAATATTAACCATCATTTTTGACTATGATGATTATCAATTATCTGATTAACCATGATTTTGTTAGTTCGTTTGTTTCCCACAATGTGAGGCCCCCCGTTCGATAGCTAAGTTGGTGAACATAACTCCAATTTCACTATGGTTTATGATACTTATAACGAACTAGTTACTGGGGCGAATCTAAACCAACAAACATCACGTTTGGGGGCCCCTCACATTGCATAATTTGTTCCAAAAAAACATCCAACCGTGGCGCCATTGGAATCATCGGTGGATCGGTTCGCTCGGTGATTTTGTTTTCGGCCACGCCGAGGTCGGTCCAGCACATCATCGCACGAGGCGAGATCTCAGAGCAGCCGATGGATTTGGGATGAGTCGAAAGCGATTAGAACTATATTATTGATAAACCAGGAATCATTGATAAACCATATTATTCAAGATCATGAACCATATAATAACCATATATTAACCATTATTAACAGATTTTTGGGGGAATTATAACGACCTCACTGTCCTCCCTCACTGGGAATCATGGTTAATAAAGGAAAATCATCCCCAAATGACCTTAATTCAGGTTAGTGAAATATTATAATTTACCCAGATTAGAAAACTGACTGGTCGGTGGTTTGGACGATGAATCTTATGACTTTCCCATCATCTTGGGAATGGAAAAATCATCCCAACTGACGAACTCACGAACCATCATTTTTCAGAGGGGTGGTGGCTCAACCACCAACCAGAAACCATATTTGGGGGAATACCCTCTGGTAAACTAACATAACTATGGAAAATCACCATTTTCAATTGGTAAATCCACTATAAATGGTCATTTTCAATAGCTATGTTAAATTACCAGAGGGTAAAGATCCAGCATATGATTTGGGTATCCCCATTTTGGGTGGGGGTGACTCATAGCCATATGGCTTTGTCTGAAAAGTTGGGTTTCCCCAAATCCCGTGTCTTGACTCTCTGGTTCGGCGGTCGGGACATTGCTTTGGGATCTGATCATTTTTCATGCCTTTAAGATCTATGAATTGGGATTTAGGATCGATTAATACCTTTAAGATCCTTCGAATTTGAGCTGATTTTTAACCTTTTTTGGGAAATCTATTGAGAATATACGTGTAGTATTTTATGGCCCGCAAATCGGCAAGTACAAGCAGTTACAGTCCAAGACGTTTGCGGTCTCAAAAATATGAGGCAATCAAATGTTTGTTGTTTCAACTTTCCATATGTTTTGTCTTTCTCCCATGATTTTCCATGCTATTCCCATACATTTTGGCGCCCGCAGGTACCCCAGGGAAGGAGTTGAGGCTCATCGTGCAGGATTTGAACTACACCAAGGGCAAGGAGGCGCTGAAGAATATGTGGATTCGACCAGTCTAAGGAGTTGATCGATACATAAGTAGAAGAACAGTGTCATGACTTATAACTAATTGTATATGTTCAGATATATATATATATATGTATATATATATGGGTTAACATGGTAGTACCCTAAATCATCCATTTTTATTGGGTTGTCCTTGAAAAAACCATCCATTTAGAGGTACCACCATTTATGGAAACCCCATATATATATAATATTACGCCAAACATAAGAGATGGGAATGCATCCCCGGTCTTTGTGGATGTAGCCTGACATGGCGACATGGCTACTGGCACCTTTTTTTTGGATCACCTTTCATTTGTTGGGTGCCGTGTTTTGGCTTACGCCCCTTTCTGGACAGACACACACACACACGTATCTATATATATATATAATATTTGGATGAATTATAGGGACCTCACTGTGATGTCACAGTAGTGATGGTTAGTAAGGGCAACTATCCCATCTATCCCCAAATGGCCCTATTTCGGCTCCGTCGCCATTTATTAACTATGTATATCCCCACATATCCCCATATATTGATTGATGGTGAAGTACTTCTTGTTTCAAAGTCTTGAAAAGCTGCGAGGCGGAGGCTGCAGAGGCGTTGCGCTTTCAGATGGAAGCAGCTGCAACTTGTCAATGGGAGCCGCCAAACACAACTTATAGCATCTTATAGGCTATCTGTATGGGTCAAGCTTACGTATATACTTTGGTACTTTAACTGGTTGGTGGTTTGGAACATGAATTTTATTTTCCCCAATAGTTGGGATGATGATCCAACCTGACTTTCACTCCATCATTTTTCAGGGGGGTCGGGCTCAACCACCAACCAGTAATCATTGATAAACCATATTATTCAAGATCATTAACCATATAATAACCATATATAAACCATTATTAACAGATGTTTTTTTTGCCTTTGTACATTCACCAACTAATCCAGAGCATTGGAAGGTCATCTCTTTCGTCATGCCTTTGGATGCGCGAAAAGGAATCACTCTGAACTCAGCTGATGAATTCTATCAATGTGAAGCCCCCGTTGGATAGCTAAGTTGGTGCACATAACTCCAATAACTGGTGGGTTTATGGTACTTATAACGAACTAGTTACTGGGGCGAATCTAAACCAACAAACATCACGTAGAAGGGGGCCTCACATTGATAGGAACCATTTGTTGTGGCCTGAAACATGCTTGTGGCTGTCAAATTCACGGCTTCTTGGTGTAAGAATTGGATATTCGAATGCCAACATTTGGCGGCCAAGAAGCTTCTGGAAATGTGAGACTCAAAGATTTGGGACTTGACCCTGGACAAAAATCATGGTATGTTAAACATATTAATGGATTTGCTATAAAAAATAAGAGATTTGACCAGCAAAAGCTATGATTTTGAAGCACCAACAGGTAGCTATCATTAGCTATCAATTTCTTTCAGTTGAGAACGAAAAACACGATTCGCTTGTTTTGGCAGTAACTATTCCATCTTCGAGCGGCCAAGTGTGAGCTGCATCCGTTCAAGACACATTTTGTTTCGGTTTCGAAAAAGGTAAAAGACATTAAAAGACCATGATCTGAATGAAGACGACCAGATGAGCAGCATCAAAAACCTCCATGAAGGGATTTAGTATTCGGGTTCATGTGGGGAACCCCCCCGCGAAAGCCAAACCTTCACGCGCGAAAGCCGCGCGAAAGCTCCGCGAAAGGAGTGCGTCAAGGTCGAGCCGCGATAGCAGTGGCGAAAGCAGGTAGATAGTAGAAGCACATTTAAATATACATGTGCACCATCATTTACGGGCAATTTTCCGCGAAAGCAACCGCGAAAGATATTACGAAATACATGTCGCCGCGAAAGCCAGAACTGTGCGCGCGAAAGAACCGCGAAAGCCGTCGCGAAAGCTTATAAGGATTAGAACCAAATCGCTACCGGGTTTTCGACGCCGCTCAGATGAGCAGCTTGATTTTTCAAATTCAATTTGAGCTGCAAGAAGATCTTTGTTGTCCATTGCATCACAGATATGGCCAGCAATCTCTCCCAAAAGCCGGGCTTTCTTCGCCACTTTGGGGCCCCTTTGCTGTTGAGTACCAGACCCCGGCATCCAATTCGGTCACTTTTTGGCCCCCGAACGAAACGCAACATGTGGGGATGGGTCAAAAGCTATTGCTATCATATTTGGAAGAAGAACCATCCATGAACCAGCCATTTTAGGGTAGCGATTGGGTAGGTTTTGACTCATAGCCAGAAAGGCGAAAGAATCTCAGGTCGAAGCACTGCCTCTAGCTGCACCCGAAGAATGCAGGCTGGAGATGATGGAAACCAATGGAAACCAGCTGAACAGCATCATTAAATCATATCAAACCACATTGAATCATATTCAATCATATTTACTCAACCATATCCAATATCATATTATTTTTATTTATTTTTTTCAAAGAGCAACCTAAGCTCCAGCTAAGGCGCCAAATAATAGCAACTTCCCGGGCCAACCTCATTTGAATGGAGATCATGAGGAGTTCAGGGATGATCAAGCGATTTCGTTGCCTGCACTTGTACCAAATCTATACACGTCCATAGCAATTAATACTGTAGATATCTGTAGATACCCTGGATGATACGGGATAAACATGGATAAACTCAGGTTTCATGTGGTGCGGCATGGCGCTGGCTCAAGCTCTGTAAATCTTGGCTGGGTCGCGTGACTTGGCCAATGTTTTAAAAAATCAGACATGGGAACATGATAAGTCATACTCTGGCAAGATGTATATACAGAAACTACTGCATACTTTGAGGGTATATCCAAGACAATATTGACCTAATAGTATTCGATGTTCGGACCAAAATCTAAGACAGCAACCGTGATGCTCTTTGCTAAGCGAAGAGAAGTCTCCATTCTCATGTTGCGTTGAGCCTCACAAAAAAAAAGAAAAACAAGATGGGATGTAACGGTGTGTACCCCTAAATCCACAGGTTTTTTCCTCATTTTCCCATTTCATAACTTTCGATTCTCACCCCACTTTCAGACACAGAGAACAGTTGACCCTTGATCGGTCGCTCAGCGCCATGGACAATCCTTTGCGATTGACAGATCTGGTGTTTGGTGTCATCTATTTGTGCACCTATTTCTTGAGCAATGGTGTCTGGGTAAAAAGAGAACGTTAAAAAGTGATGATGATAATAGCAGGGATGCAGATGTTTATGAGCATATAGCATGAACTATCATAAATCTAGACATGTTTGTTTGGTGTCTGGGTAAATCATATTCTTATATAAGAGGGGTCGCAACCAGCAACCAGTTATGTTATTCAATATTTTCTGATCGGGGGTAGATGATATGTCATATTTCAATGTGTTCTTCATGGTGGTATGTCTATGGTAGTGATACAGCCAAAGCCTTCGAGATGCCCGACTTTGTCTTAAAGATGACGTCCACCAACAAGCTGAAAACGTGGAGTTTCAATTGGTAAAAATAGGCACCCTACACCCTAAACCTTTAACCCTAAACCCCCAAATGGATCCAACTGGTTATACAGTATACTCCTATATATACTCCTAATACATCCCATTTTTTGATCTTCCCACTTGACTGTAGAATCTAGTAGGGTTATGTAGGGTTGGGAGTTTACATTCCTGATGCCAGTCTTGATCTTCGGTGAGCGACGGACCTCACTGCTGGAATGATGGGCATTGGGGGTAAATACCAGATGGCCGACATATTCGGATGTGTGAACTGCTGTAATTTTTCCAGGTATATCCAGGTATATCAATATCATTCAATATCCCATCATGTTTATATTATTTCCCCAGTATGTCCCCATTCGGGGTTGGTTTTAGCTCGATAAACGATCCAGAAAACCATGAAAACCATCCATAAACATCTACTATCTTTGGATGGTAGTGAGGTCAATATTGTTCGTTGAGAATCAGACGGGCCAGTTTGGTACATTGCTACTTCATCATCTATCTATGGGTTGTTGAATGACCAATTTTTTATCCCCAAAAAAGTGAGGTCCTATTCTGAACTTCGTCGACCAAGTTGGTCTGATTCTTTTGATTGCTGGCGTTTTGGTGTGTCTGGGTATCTCCATCAAGATACGCCTCATCGGACAGATGCTCCTTGGAATGCCGGTGAAATACAAAGATTGTGTCGGAAAACTGGAGCCTCCCCCAAGTTATCGTTTTTTTAATGGCAAAATGGTGATGAATGATGAATGATTATTTTGACCACATGTCTCTTGTTTTGGACAATTATATGAAATGATGTTTTAAACCACCAACATTTTGGGGTACCATATTTCACAGATTAACGTGATTACTGTAAAGGTTGGCAAATAGAAGTTAGCCCACTGAAAATGATGATCACGGTAACTACACTGGAAAATAATGGAGCCCTTAGCCTTTTTCGTCCCTGAACGTTTCGAGATGTTTGGTGACTGAATCCGTTGGTGGATGGGCCCCTTAAAGTTTGCCTTAAAGTGACTTTGGCATATCATTTTCGATGTTATTCCCAAGCAGGATAGTGGATGGCAAGAGATAGGGAAAGTTGTTCCGTTTTTCATGGACACAAGAAAATGAGTGGCAAAGAAGCGGACATAAATTGGAAGCACAGCGATTCCAACAGAGTTTCTGTGGCGGCCATTTTCACAGTAAGCCATTTCCCATTTTTCCAGACATGAAAACGGGATTTCAAGCAATCCCGGAGATTCATCACAATCCCGTCACAGACCATTCCCCAAGATGCCCATCTTGGGGGCCCACCCCAAGGGGCACCTTGGGGCCTTGGCATTTCCAAGGCGTTGGACCTTAGCGAAGAAATTCTTCGAAAGTGTGATGAACACCTCTGTTGGCACGGGACGGAGTGACGGGACGCTATGATGTCAAATGTACCCTCTGGTAGCTGACATAGCTATTGATTTGGTGATTTGCAGTTGATTTACCTATTCAAAATGGTGCTTTTTCGTAGCTATGTTAGTTTACCAGAGGGTAGTCATCCTGAAGGAGAAACGTGAGGATATAATCACCTTTAATCCCCATGCAGCCATTGTTTGGGATATACCAATTTCACATGTCTGGATAAATGTTGATCACGGTTCCTCACTTGGCGCACTGGAAATGATGGGAATTGGATGGAATTGGATTGGGGTAACGGGGTAAGTAACTATTACCGAATGGCTCAACTTATCATAACTTATCCAGATTTATGGAGGGACGGCAGTTGGAGTACTAAAACCGGAAACATCATGCCTCGTTTGCCTCGTTCCAATCGTTCCAAGAGCAAGAAGGTGAGAAAGAATTACATCAGGCCATGGTTCCCTATTCGGGTTTCCTTAGACTTCTTCCTTCAAACATCAACATCAAAATTGGGGAGTATCTGGTTTCTGGTTTCGACTAAGATCGACCCTTTGGCAAGCTCTCCTGGTAGCGTTATAACATGTGTTTTTTCTGTTTGCCCAAAACGTTATATATTTATTGAAAGAGCATTTGTTGCAAGCAACCCCACGATGACATCACCATTCGAAGAATCAGAAAAAATCAGGTTGTTCTTTGCTCCCTCTCAATTTTCCCTTCAACCAATTCTTGATGCAGTTTGAGGGGACCAAAATCCATCAAAATCCAACATTTACACCCCTATTTCATTGGGAATATACCCTATTTTCAGACAAACCTATATTTGGGAAGGCCCTGTGTTGCGTGGTTAACAAAAATAGACGCAGTTAATATTCGGTCGATGTCTTGTTGCGATAGAGGGTATAAGATGGTGTAAGATACAAGATTTGTCCTAACCGTCCCAACCATTCAAACAAAATAATGCAAATGATGTCTAAGATTAGCCATGGTATGCTATTACTTCCCCTATTTTTTCTGGGCTCCAATTGAAACTGAGGATTGTAGGGCAGATTATTGGCACGATCATCAGCTCGGTGGTGATGGTGTTTCTTGGAGTGTTTTTTGTGGACCTCGTGGATTTTGGGTGGGGTGGAGGGCAGTCACGTTGCATGTTGCGCGCATCACTGATGCTACAACGGCTGGTTAAGATACACGTACATAGATGAGTCACCGTCAAAATGGTTAAAGACCACTTGAGTATTGCAGGAGTTTTTTGTCAGAGATGTGCAAGGAACACTGTAAAGCGATAGGCCCAAAAGCGATAACCTGGGACCATACACGACAGTCCATTAAACTTTACACCAAGCAACCGATGAGGAAAATTCAAGCTGTGGTGCCCTCTCGCTCGCTGTCTTTCTCTTTATCTTTCTCTTTTTTTTTCTCTCTCTCTCTCTCTATCTCTCTCTCTATCGGTTTGTGGCAAATTTCCTTCGAAAAATGTCCAATGTCATATGTTGGAGGGGTTGATTATTTAGCGATAAACTTAGCGATAACTTAGTGATAACCTTTGTTGCACTTGGTCCCCTGGCCAAGCCATAGAGCGAGTTCCACAACTTTAGAAAGGAAATGAAAGGACATGAAGGAAATGAAAGGCAATTAATGCAAAATGAAAGGAACATGCATGCAAATGGAAGGAAGATGAAAGGACATGAATACACATTGGAATGAAAATGAAAGGACTACGAAAGGAAAATGAAAGGACATGAATACAAATGAAAGGAACATGAAAGGAAATGAATGCAAAATGAAAAGAACATGCATGCAAATGAAAGGAAGATGAAAGGAAGATGAAAGGAAATGAATGCACATTGGAATGAACATGAAAGCAATATGAAAAGAAAATGACAGGACATGAATACAAATGAAAGGAACATGAAAGGAAATGATTGCAAAATGAAAGGAAACTGCATGCGAATGAAAGGAACATGAAGGAAGATGCATGCAAATGAATGCAACATGAAAGGGACATGAAGTCGTGCCGAAGCACCTGAAACCAACAACACAATTCCTCGATCGATTTCCGAGCCTGTTTTGGAATGGATTTTGGATGATTTTGGCTTCATGTTGGATCTCGAATATGCTGATTTCGACAAAACCCTGGAAAGCGATAGGGCCCCCCAAAAAGGGATAACCATAACAATAGCAAGTACTCAGATGTAAAGGATTTTGACGGCAGCTCATATGTACACATCTGTCTATAATGTACTGTATATAAAATTATATAACTTACATATAAATACATAATAATACATATACCCCATCAGGATACATTGTATATATATATATAATTATATATATATATATTATACGTATATCCCTATGACTATATTTTATGTTTATACAATGTTATACATAAATATTGACGTCATGGGGATTCAACCCACGTGACAAAAAAAAAAAGTTGACTTTTGTTCGCATCGTTTTTTGGAGGACTCCCCTAATATTCTTACCATAGAAAGACGGAGAAAATTTGCAATATGATCCCCTAGAAACGGTTTGGGTTTTTCATGAATTGGAATCCATTCAAACTTAAGAATATTTCACATTTTGTTTCACCATGACCAACCGTTCTGGGTCGGCATCCCAAAGCTATCGCCTTTTTTTGCCAGCTTTAAATTTCTTATTTCATGATGTATAACCAACTTGTTGCAGGAGCTATTTCAGCCCATTTATAGCGATTTCCCATCATTTTACCATCATGTTACCATCATTTTCCAATCCCCTTCCCGGGATGTTCCTATATTTGTCCGTCATTTTCTCATCATGTTCATCTTTAATCAATGGGAATTTCAGGATCCTGAAATGGAGGTACTGTACCATATAAGGCCATATTTTGTGGGGATATTCCCTTACATAGGCCATATATAGGCCTTATATATGGTAGATACCTCCAATTTAGGTTCCTGAAATGGCCATTGATTTAAGGCCCAAAAATGGGGGGGGCAGAACTGCAACGACTTGACCCAGGACACTTGCTCTGACCCTCGGTTTGTTGGGCGCTGTCCTGGACATTGCTGTGGAACTCCTCAGCGTGCTGGCCGTGCTGGTGCGGACCGGTGTCGTTGCATCCCGAACGTGGATGCCTATCCAACGTTACTTATAATTAAGCCCAAAAAGATAGAAACTTGAATATACAACTATTTCACTATTTTAGTAGGAAATTACAAACTTCTATCTTTTTGGCGGTTAGTACAGTTGTGTAGAATTGTATATACCTGGGACTGACGTTCGAGTCTGATTGTTCCATGGCAAGATTATGGACTGATTGATTTTCAAGAAGCAATAATATATACCCTCTGGTAAACTAACATAGCTATGGCAAATCACCATTTTTAATGGAAAAACTCACTATAAATGGTGATTTTCAATAGCTATGTTAAATTACCAGAGGGTATATATATATATATAACTACATGTACACATGATACACGGGTAGAAAATCTATATGTTTTCCAATGGCGGCCATAGGGGTAAACCTAAACCTGCGTCCTGTGGATCATCATCATGATATCCGTGATATGTCCAAACAATATGGAATCTATGGGTGTTCGAATCCCAATAGTTTGCTGGTGAAAGCACCATAAAATGACGGGCGAAGTCCCGAAGTCCCATGTTCATCGTTAATGAAGTAACTATTTTTGATGGCTAAATCACAGTTCTTGATCCAAAATTCGCAGTCATGGCTCGCAAATTTTCATCGTCAAATCACCATTTTGCCTGGTTAAATCCCAGTGTTTGATGTAGATGATGTGGACTTAAAATCAGCATGTCAACATAATTATTGAATAAAATAGGTCATTGATCCATCAAAATAAACCATTCTCCACATCTATTACATAGTCTATTACATAGTCTATGTTAGTTTCGCCTTTTTCGGGGCCTAGTTCCCATGTCCCATAGGATCCATGTATGCTATATATGGTAACATTTGCCATCAATATACCCCAAATGTTAGCATATATACCATACATGGATCCTATGGGTGTTTTGGTTGGCTCACTGGGCACCCTTGGTCGCGGCACTGATCGTCAGGTGCCCTTGGGGCTGCTCCTGGGAATCCAAGTGAAACGTCGCATGGCACCGGCCATGCTCGAGGTGATTTGCCCCGTGACCTCGGTGGAGATGGGGAATCAACAGCATGTTGTGCTGGATTAGCCTCTGGTTAACAGTTTGCCATGGAAGCCATGGCCCATTTTTGATAGGTAAAATGAGGTAAACCATCGATTTCTATGGGCTATGGCTTCTATGGCAAACTGTTAAATAACCAGAGGGTAGTTTCCTATAAACACTGATTGGTTTGGCAATATGTTTTTGCTGTCAGGAGATTTGGATTCAAAGTAACCAGCCAAAATAATCTGATTGGTGGTTTGGAACATGAATTTTATTTTTTTCCGTATATTGGGAATAATCATCCCAACTGACTTTCATATTTTTCAAAGGGGTAGGTATACCACCAACCAGAACATATGGCAGGAACTGGCAATTACTTTCTATAATATAAACATGGCACCGTCCAAAATCATGGGATTGATCGGATCTGTTTTTTTTGACGCATGCATGATTTTATCATACTGTTAATGGACATATACCATATAAGAATAATATAACTCACATAATCCATCATGTTCGTTCCATTAATAAAGGATCCCATTACTGGAATGACATGTATATTGCGTGAATGAACTGGATATGTTGAACTGGATTAAGGCAAACATCTGGGAATATATGGGATTCCACTTTAACATAATCGCATCATGGCATACTGTATTCCAAATTAAAATAACACATGTGGATATAATGAAGGTACAATGGGATATAATAGGATTCTGTTGGTGATGTAAACATGTGCGATTCAAACTGCATGGCTCATATGATTCTGCGCTTGGTCATTGGGTCGATCTGACGAAAATTCTGTCTGGAAAAACGGTGAAATAATTTACCTGAACTGGTTCAATGTATATATGTCACAATTTTCAGAACCGGATGATGGGAAAATTCGCAAGAAAACCATGAAAGAATGATAGCACATATAATGCTGTGGGATGAACTTACCAAGTCATGGCCAGTTCAAGTGGTGACAAATGCAACAACCAACAATCCCTCTGTTTTTTTTGCAGCGAACTGAAAAACGTCACCATTTGGGATATAGTAAAATACATATCAAACTCGGCCATGGCTTCCACAACTACGGGAGGCTACTGGGTCGAGGTTCAGAAAAATGGTTGACTCATTGGTTAATTGGTTGATAGGGATTACTCCGTGATTACAGCAACAACATTTGTGGATGATGATGTGATGGAGATACTGTGGATGGTTGTGAAATCCTGCAACACCAAAGGATGGTTGAAACCCTAGAAATAATGGGATAAAGCATCTATCAACTGGTGCATGATTTATTCCATCCACGATATTTTCTGGGGTGTAGTGTAATTAATGGGGTATTCCCCAGAACTGGAAGATCTGGAAGATGTTTTGTAACAGTGGCAGAACAACTGAGATTTTTCTTGGGGAAACTGGTGGGATCTTGGAACCCTTGGAACCTATTTAGCCCTATTTTAAGACAAACCCAAATGGTGAATTGATGAGCCTCATTAACCACTCATTAATTACCGATTTACATAATATGATTTAATCAAGCAAAATGCTGGTTTAATCTGGTTAGTATTGGTTAGTTGAATTCATTTAAGAACCACTAATTCATTCGCATCACAGCATTTGGGCCATTTGGGCAACCGGGCAACGGTAGTTCAAGCTAGATCAGTCAATTTGTCATCAGGCAAATAGGAAAACATGGTGAATAGCGCAGTGATGCCCGGCAGAATCTTATATGCCAATGATTCTCATATCAATACCCAGTACCCATACAATAATGCAAAATATCGTCAATACTATTCAAGTTCTTTCGAAACATATCAACGTATGGTAAACAACAAACAATACGAGAGTTTGTGGACGGGGAGCATGTCAATAGTACGCAACTAGGCTTATAAACCAACGCAACTGCAGGATATCACCTTGTGGTAAAATGGATTAAAATGGAATTATTACGGATTGTATAGTAAACTACCATAGTATTGTTTCTTACAAATGTCCATGGCTACTTTGAGCATCTCGGGTTACTCGTAGACACCCATTCAATTAATCAACACTAGCTATAGCCACTGTTTATAAAGCAACAGCCACAGAACTGCGGGGCACCAGCTAGGAACCATGGAATCAAGATATGATATTTCTAATATAATTTGATATAATATAATATAATATATATATAGAATATATGTGTATATTATGTATTTGTATATAATATATAACTACATTGTATTGTACTATATTATTATTCTTTATATTATATTTACATGATATGTTCTTGTAACATTCTACTTTATGCCGACGCTATTCATCCTGACAGATACTGGGGCGCTTCGGCTTCTTCCTCCACCTCGCCTTGTCCGCGCGACTTCTCAGAGGACATTCCCGGAGAAGCGCCTGACGGCAAAGTCGTGGCGCTGGAGTGGTGAAAATGTGGAGCTGCGAGCGGCCGGTTGCGAAAAAGGGGGGGGAACCCCAACAAGTCACCATGGTTTAACCTATGCTAAGTCATGATCCATGACGACTGGAGGATATAGGTGGTACCCCTATGTGGAAACTGTCAGATCCTGGAAAACTTGAAGCCATTCTGCAGTTTCCAGTGGAATTCATGTATATAAAATATTTAGGAAAAACACATGAATGTTATGTGCATGATTTGTCATATTGCGATGTTTGCTTGTAGTTTATGCTTCGTGTTAATGGTTCGTGCCAACGTGGTCTGACACCTACAAGTAGCTCTTGGCAGTGGATATTTTCTCAGTTGTGAACCAACGTGAGCCAATCGTGATGGGAAATAGCTTGATGGATCATCGCGATATGAGTTGGTCATCAATGGCCAGAAATGAGGTAACTATCATCAAGTAAGAACTGTCGAAGATTCCAAACATTTCGTGTTTTTCTGGGATGATTTAAAGTTGCAGCAATCCGGACTTGATCAATCTGAGAAACGCATTCAATGTTCAGCTAATCCCTTAGAATCTCCGAGTTATTTAAAATAAACACAGAACTGTAACAACTGTGACTTAGCAATCCTATCCCCCTAATACTCTATCTATATATACATAATGATATATAATAATAGTAATAATAATAATACATATACAAATATACAGATTATATCTATATATACATTTATATATTTATATGTATAATTGTATACATATACCCCATCTCGATGGGACTCGGAAAAGAATTGATCCAGGACATTCCGCCAAACATCTCGGGGGGGTCAAGGACACGGGGCATCCAGGATGCTTCCTGTCATCCTCAACTATCAACTATAGATAATATATTCGCGTCTAATATTAAGGATTACCTATATTAGCAATAGTTGAGGTAATTGTATGTAATTGTAAGCTATATATAGTCTAATATTAAGCTAATAGTAACACTAGTAAGTATACTAATTGACCTATTGGGAGCTCTTTCGATCTATTTGTAAGTCTAGTTATAGATTTATTTGATTTTATTTGGGGTTATGAAATAAATCATCCAAGAATGCACAAGCAAGTTGCTGGGTATGTAAAGCGAGTGACTCTGGCATCATCTGAAAACGATGAGGCCTCAGCCAGAGTGTGAACTGCTGCAGCTGACATGCCTCAAAGCCTCTAAAATCAGCTCCTAATCATGGCGTTGGCTGAGTGTAAATCGCTCTCGGTCTATGGAAAGATTTCCTTCTCCATTTACTACTTCATCATCATTTTTGGCGGCATGACCACCGTCTTCGGAATGGTGGCCCCGCTTCAGTCCGCTGACTGCATGGCGGCACCATTTCTGGCCGACAAGGATCAGAATGATCAGATCGTTTGGTTCAAGGCGACAGGCCGGATGTGTGGCGCATTGGCCACCCTTTTTCTCATCGCAGTTTACCTGCTGGGCCATTCCATGACATCCTTGTTTCTCTTGTTTCTCTGGGGCCTTCTGAATTTCCTCAACTTCGCCCTCATGATTCCAGCGGATTTGAAAGATGGGGGGTCTGAAGAAGCCCAAAGGTGCAATAGTTACATGAAGCAACAAGTGGGAGCCTTTGCACTTTTGGAGGCAATTGCTGTTCTCTTAGCATACTTGGATCATCGATGCAAGTCCAAGCCCAACTCGCTAGAGGAACATCTGAGTTCTTCAGAATAAGTCGTTGACAAAAAGCGACATCGTTACAGCCCGAGGTCCTGGCTTCAGCAAAAAATCCGCGGGAACCGTGTCTCAAGCAATGGACATCAGCATTCAACAGGGGCAAAATTCACTTAACTGTTACCCCCTGATTCCTGAGATATATACAACATGTATCAATATGTACTATCTGTGTGAAAATAGACATGAGGGCCTTAAGTTCTTTCCAAGGACATCACATCACTGGAAAGGGCCTAACTTGACTTGGCGCCGAGTTTGAACCCCGCTTGAATGATGTTCTTAAATTAGCGCAATGAGATAAAATTAAATCAACGTAGTAATTATAATATATATATACCCATTTGGTTATTTAACATAGCCATGGAAAGTCACCATATTTTTAATAGGTAAACCACCTATAAATGGGCCATCTATACCATGGCAAACTGTTAGTCATAACCAGAGGTTATGTATATTAGATGGGTAGTGAACTGGCTGCTGCATCCCAATATAGATCCAGCTGGCTGGTTTTTGTGCTATGAAACATTTACCCAGCCGTGGCAGGGCATTCCTTTGGCTCAATATGGACCATGGAGGGTCTACTGGGGAACTGGATGAAAAATATCGCCTTATAAGTATCAAACATGGGGATTTACCCTCTGGTAAACATACAAAAAGCTATTGAACATGGCCATTTCTAGTGGATTTTCCCATGAAACATGGTGATTTTCCATAGGTTTTCGTATGTTTACCAGAGGGTAACCATCCCCAAATGAGGAGATCTTAACCTGACGAGCTCAAACACTTGTAGGTACCTTGCAGGGTAACATTTGTCATGTCCTGGTACCATCTGGTTGATAAACAACCACTGCTGTATAGATGATGGTTAGAAAGGGCATTGACATATTGAAACACAAACATGGAGAACCGCTTATCAGCTTATCCAGTTCAGTATTTTGATATCCAATGATTCAATCAGATTGACCCTTCAAAAGCCATTTCTTGACCCTGCAAAGTATAGCGAACCCACTGGCTGACCTCATCATCATCATAAGTACCTGAATTGTTCACAGGGGGAATCATCTCATTTTTTTTCAGTTCCAGATGTTCATAATTATCGATTCCTCAATCTTAACATAGAATATACTCTTCTTTATTACCTTTAATCTTGTCTGGTTGGTGGTTTGGAACATTTTTTATTTTCCATAATATATGGGATAATCCTTCCCATTGACTAATATTTTTCAAGATGGTTAAAATCACCAACCAGTTGTTATAGATTACTCCAAACAGCTGATGAACAGCTTCCCCTTGCTCCAGGCCTCCGGTTGAGGGCCCCGGCAAATGGGTGCCTTGGTGAGAGATCATGCCCACCTAAAACCCACCGAAAATCGTGGATCAAACACTTGAAACAGGGCAATGTTGAATAGAATATAGAAGAACCAAGAACAATCTGCTTTGAGCCCAGTTTGAACATGAAAGATTGGAGATCTTCGTGACGGACAGACTAAACAAATATGATGAATGAATGAGTAGGCATTGATGTTGGACTGGAGGACCAACAACTATAAAGAATATCAATATGTAGTCTCCAGGATTTTAGACCGAACTCATTCGGAATAGACTTGGTCCGCGAGGAACATGTTGCCTGAATTTGGGCCGTTTGAAATTCTCACGTGTAAGTCTATGAAACATCCATGGCATTTATGACTCATTACCAAGTGACGATGTGAACTACCAGCGTTTCGACTGATCCCCACATAGATGGAACTTGAATCATCCAGGAAAGCATCGATTTACCAGCCAATCATGCTGGTGAAAGCAAAACCTTGCGACTAATTTAGGGATTTTGAGGGTTTTCAAATGGTTTCAAGTACTCCGAAGTCCCTGGACTTTAGGGGCATCGTTGGATGCCCAACCGTTGGGTCTCTCTGAAACTCGCCCTTTTGTGTTGACTTTGTTTGAAACCACTCAAATCACTGGTGCTAGTGATGTAACTTGGCCATAAGAGTTGGATTGAGGAAACAACCACCACCGAAAACCCTGCAAGGCCTGTCACAGCCGGTCCAAGGCGCAGTTTGTCGCAGCTCCGGTGGAGGCGCCCATCAACCAGGCGCGAAGTTATTACCCGGCTATAAGTATGGGGGAAAGGGATGGAAAGGGTATAGGGATAACCCACAAACTGTGTTAGTTGGGAAAATGGCGGTCAATGAATCATGAGCTTTTGAGTATCCGACTGAGTCTCGTATTTTCAGACAAGCCCATTGGAGGAGGTTGGAACAAATTAAAGCCCATGAAAACTTTGTTTTTTTGGGAGAAAACCCGACTGATACTCATCCACAACACATGCAAGCTGGATTTTTCCTGGTTTTCCGAATCCATTGTTTCTTTCGTTTTAGTCATGTGGAAACCCAATTCTGGGACTTATTTTGGACACATTGCCATTGCTTGTTTCCGCTAAAGCGAACAGGTCTTCCACCTTGTTGGGTTGCACACCTGCAAATCGGTGCGGGTAAAATCCCCATGGTATTTTGGGCTAGATCTCCAAGAACATCCTCGGTTCAATCTCCATGATCGAGCCGCATGTTAGGCGGGCGACGAAGAGGGCTTTGCCACAAACTTTGGTGCCGCTCGATGCGCAGTGCTGGGGATGTGTGATGGTGTGTGGAGCTTGCGTTTTTTTGAGATCGGATCCTACTGTACCGGTGGGATTATAGCTGGGTTTCTAAGCCAATCAATTGGTAGAGAAGCCTGGTGATTGGACGGGATCATTTACCATATACCAGATACAATGTAGCAGTTTATCAAGCTTAAAACTATATACATACCCGTACTTGAAGGTCTGAACCAGCTTTTGCAGAACGCTCAACTACGATCGCATTGTCAAACCCGATTTCGCATCGAAGTTGTTGTGTGGTGTCTAATATGGTGGTTTCCTAAAATGGAAGTACCCCGAAATCCCAAATTAGAAAGTTTTATATACCCTCTGGTAATTTGTTACATAGCTATTGAAGCCATGACCCAGTCGAAATAGGTGGATTTTCCCATTAAAAATGGTGATTTTCCATAGTTATCTTAGTTGAAACCCATGGTGACTCGGGGATCCCCTATTTTTGGGGACTGTTTCTGAGGCTGGTTGGACCTTGGGCCGAAAGAGGTCGGCGGAGGTGTGGGAACCTGGGTGAGCGGAGACCCATCTGTCCGACACGACTGGGCCGGTCATTTGGGGTAAATGTTGGTGATTGTTGGTGAATATTCCAGCACCAGGACGCATTGTGGTGAAAAGAAATATCATGGAATATAATAGCTATATATCATATATCCCATTATCCCATTATCCCATTGATATAGCTATTATATTCCATTAAACAGCTACTATCATTGGATAGGGCGATGCTATGGGCAACATCGTTTTTTATTTTTCGAAAAGCGATGGGTTGATCCAGGGGAATTGGAGAATCGATTGGCATTCGGTGTCTCTTTTTTGTTGTGCCCTGTTCAGAAATTCCAAGTACCATGGAACTTGCGGGTAGCCGGGTTAACCCAACCATGTGTTTAGTCCATCGAACTGGTGGAGCCATGGTTATTGATCATCCATGGTTCATCATTTTGATGGATATCAACGGGATTTTCATAGTGATTCATAGTGGATTCATGATGGTTTAACGTGATTTCATGGTGATGAATAGGGAAAGATGTTTTGGATTTTCAGTGACATCAGAACAAGTTGTATGCCACTATTTATCAATCGTCCACACACGTTTTCCTCGATCGAAACAGGGATGAATACATTTAGGAACCAACACAAATAGGGATGTGCATCTAACAACAAGCTAGTTAAACATATCCTGTATCATTGCATGTTTGCCCTAAAACTGGTTGACAGGAACTGAACAAGCTTTAGTGATCCAGCACAGACGATTTCTAGAACATTCAGAGGTAGGTACCTGATTCTGTGCCGGTCAAAAGAAAACCCCAAACATCGGAGTGTGAATATCAAACACAGTAAGAAATGGTGGTTTCCAAGGTCAGACAAGTTTTGAACCACAGTCGCCGGGTGCGCAGCGCATGATTTCCTGAAAGTTCTATGGCAAGAGGTCGGTATCAGTCTCTATTGACATGTCCGCGTTGTTTGATCCTGCATTGATCAGGTGTCCTTTGGTTTCTCTTGTTTGGGGAGGTTGACACATCGCCTGACATGGTTACCGATGGTTGTTGGACAGGGTGTCTGAAAATGAGGGACCGGGCCACTATGGGCTATTCAATGGAGAAGACAGATGATGATGATGATCTGTTGGAATTGGGGGGACCCGATTTTCAGACAAACTCGGATAGTGACCATATCGCCAAATCATGATCCTTGCAGAACAACCTTTTTTTTGTTGCGCCGAAACATCATGACGTCTTAGTGGTAATTCATGCTGGAATGATAGTATAATTAGTATACATGATAGTACCATTTCTGGGCACGGCCTCTTGAAATCTATGAGTGTCTATGAATGGAACCCGAAACATGTTACTTTTGAGGATCTATTCTCCAGCTCCCAAAGTCTCAACATATCCCTGGGATGATTCAATGATGATCCCCAGTGACTTGTTTCAGGGGGGTTGAAACCAACAACAAGTTATACCCTCTGACAATTGAACAAAGCTTACCCTCTGGTAAATAAACATAGACCCTGAAAATCACCAATTTTTAATGGAAACTAATCTTCCAACCCCTATCTGCCAGGGTCTATGTTAATTTACCAGAGGGTAACTACGAAAAATCACCATTTTCAAAAAGGGTCCGGCATTTTTGTCGACAATTCTCGACCATTCCACCATGCCTATGTCAGATGATCACAGGGTAATTCCCATGACGGATCCATGGTGCTGGTATATATGCTAACATGACTGGGGTATATTGATGGGATTCATGTTACCATATATAGCATACATGAATTTCCATGCCTATGTCAGATGGTCACAGGGTATAGCCTTAGCACATTTGTATCTCCATATATGAGTTGGCTCCAAGAATCCCCATGAATTTCCTAGGCCGGGTGAGGTTTTTGGATTTTTTGGAGGGGAGTA